CATTATCAAGAAGTTTGCAACCCATGGCACTGTAGCTAATCTCCCTGGTCGTGGACGGATGAGGAAAATTGATGAAAGATTGCAACGCAGAATAGTCCGGATGGTGGATAAGCAGCCCCAAACATGTTCCAAAGACATTCAAGCTGTCCTGCAGGCTCAGGGAGCATCAGTGTCAGCGCGAACTATCCGTCGACATTTAAATGAAAATGAAACGCTATGGCAGGAGACCCAGGAGGACCCCACTGCTGACACAGAGACATAAAAAAGCAAGACTACAGTTTGCCAAAATGTACTTGAGTAAGCCAAAAGCCTTCTGGGAAAACGTCTTGTGGACAGATGAGACCAAGATAGAGCTTTTCGGTAAAGCACATCATTCTACTGTTTACCGAAAACGGAATGAGGCCTACAAAGAACAAAACACAGTACCTACGGTAAAATATGGTGGAGGTTCAATGATGTTTTGGGGTTGTTTTGCTGCCTCTGGCACTGGGTGCCTTGACTGTGTGCAAGGCATCATGAAATCTGAGGATTACCAAAGGATTTTGGGTCGCACTGTAGGGCCCAGTGTCAGAAAGCTGGGTTTGCGTCCAAGATCCTGGGTCTTCCAGCAGGACAATGACCCCAAACATACGTCAAAAAGCACTCAGAAATGGATGGCAAAGAAGCGCTGGAGAGTTCTGAAGTGGCCAGCAATGAGCCCAGATCTAAATCCCATTGAACACCTGTGGAGAGATCTTAAAATTGCTGTTGGGAAAAGGTGTCCTTCCAATAAGAGAGACCTGGAGCTGTTTGCAAAGGAAGAGTGGTCCAAAATTCCGGGTGAGAGGTGTCAGAAGCTTATTGATGGTTATAGGAAGCGACTGATTTCAGTTATGTTTTCCAAAGGGTGTGCAACCAAATATTAAGTTAAGGGTGCCAATACTTTTGTCCAGCCCATTTTTGGGGTTTTGTGTGACATTATGTCATATTTGCTTTTCTGCCTCTGTTTTATATTTGTTCCAATACATACAAAGGGAATAAACATGTGTATAGCAAAACATGTGTTAATGCAATACCTTTTTTGTGTGAAATACTTGATTTTCAGGAAAAATATCAAGGGTGCCAACAATTTCGGCCATGACTGTACATCTCCCCCTCACTGCTACCATCTCCCTGCTACTGCTCTCATCACCTCCTGCTGATACTTTCCTCACCTGCTGACCCAAACACCAGGTCAGGAAGGCATGTGCGCTCGTGTACATCCCGCTCCCATCTTACTTTCCTCACCCTCCTTCTTCTAACCTCTGGGCATATCTCCCCAAACCCTGGTCCTCCAGTATCTCACCCCCACACCAGGCACCCTCCTTCTTCCAGGAATAGCCACAATCCACTCAATTTAATCTCTATCCCCGTGCTCCTAAAAACCACCCTCCCTTTTCATGTGCTCTCTGCAATGCCCTCTCTGTGTGTAATAAGCTCACCTCTGTCCATGACCTTCTTGTCTCCCGCTCCCTTAACCTGCTAGCAATTACAGAAATATGGCTTCAAGCAGCAGATTCTTCTTCTCCCACAGCACTTTCCTATGGAGGCATTCTCTGGACCCACTCACCCAGACCCAGTGGTCGCAAAGGTGGTGGAGTTGGTTTGCTCCTATTCCCACTGAGCACCTTTCAAGTCCTCCATAACCCTCCCTCTCTATCCTCTTTTTTCGAGACTCACTGCATTCGGCTGTTTTCTCCCATTTTCTCTGAGGATTGCAGTGATCTATCGGCCTCCTGGACCGGTGCACCACTTTCTTGATGACTTCTCTGCCTGGCTACCGTTCTTTCTTTCCTCTGAAATTCCCACCGTCATTCTTGGAGACTTTAACATCCCCATTAATGTGAACAACCCGGCTACATCCCAACTCTTCAACCTAACCTCATCTTTTGCAATGGACACAGTCCTCCACTCACTCTGATGGGAATACATTAGACCTTGTTTTCTCCCATCTTTGCACTCCCTACAACCTCACAAACACCTAATTTCCTCTCTCTGATCACAATCTCATCACCTTCACAGTCTCCTCGTCTTCAAACACCTATCCCTCCAAGCAGCAAACAATTACCTGCAGAAACCTTCACAACTTAAATGCTTCTCTTTTCTACTCTGCAACTGACCAACTCTATGACAGAATCTCTCCCCTGTCCTGCCCTGACCTGGCCACTGCTGTCTACAACAGTTCACTTTCATCCACACTAGACTCACTTGCTCCTCTAACTACACGAAGCATCAGGCCCCGACCTTTGCAACCTTGGCAGACTGACCACACCAGAGATCTTAAATGACATAGTCGTGCGCTGGAGCGATTGTGGCGTAAAAACCAAATCTCACCAAGCATTCACCCGATATAAATCTGCTTTCTTAACACACAATTCCTCCCTCCATGCTGCCAAACAAGCCTACTTTGTCACTCTCATCAATAGCTTATCATCCAGTCCTCATCATCTCTTCTCTACTTTTAACTCTCTACTCTCTCCACCTCCACCCAACACCTCACTCACTGCTTACGAGATTGCAGATAATTTCAAAAACAAGATTGATGCAATTCGTAGGGGCATCTCCACTACACAGACATCTATCCCACTCAGCATTCCTTATACTAAACCTCCCTGAATACTTTCCTCTTTTGACCTCGCTACTACTGAAGAGGTCACTAAGGTTTTCTCAGAAGCCCGTCTCACTACCTGCCCCCTGGAACCTGTCCCCTCACAACTACTACGGTCACCCTCTTCTTCCATCCTACGCTCCCTCACTCACATCTTCAATCTTTCCCTCTCTACTGGTGCCTTCCCCTCCCCTCTAAAGCACGCACACATCACTCCCATACTTAAAAAGCCCTTCCTGGACCCCACCAACCTGAACAACTTAAGACCCATCTCCATTTGTGAAAGAATGGGTCGCTCTCAGGAGCTCAGTGACTCCAAGCGTGGTCCCGTGATAGGTGGCCACCTGGGCAATAAGTCCATCCGTGACATTTTCTGGCTACTAAAAATTCCACATTCAACTGTTAGTGGGATTATAAATTGGAATTGAAGCTGTTATAGCTGCAAAGGGTGGGCCAACTCAATAGTGAACCCTACGGACTAAGGGCCAGTTCACACTACTTGCATTTCAGTTGCTTTTTTTCTGCATCCAAAACGCACAGAAAGTAGGTGATATGGTTGTAAAATGTCATAGTTCACATCAGTGCTTGTAGTTCCAGTGAATTCCAGTTGCAGAAAAAAAAGTAGAACATGTTGCATTTTTTTCTGCACAGAACTCAACGCATCAAAAACACATCAGAACCCACTGAAACGCACCAAAAATTCACTGGAACACACATGTCCCTATTTAAATTGAGGAAAAAGAGAGGGGAAAAATTAACTGTAATGCATAAAAAATGCACTGGAATGTGTCAAACAGACATAAAAAATGCACAGGAACGCATCAAAATCATGCATGCAAAAATGCATCCAGAATGCATCTGGACTGCATTTCTATGGTGTGAACCGGCCCTAAGACTGGGATGCCATTAAAGTGCATGTGCGCGTAAAGGCAGGTGTATACCAGGGTACGCAGCGGCCCTGTACCATGTGATAGGTGTGACTAATCACAGCATCACACTAGTACACAAAGCTTCATGAATGAAACCTTTGCACAGTCTTTTACCGATTACATATTACAGTGATCATCATTGTTATCAGCAATCGCAGTGTAAATCAAAAGTAGAACATTTTATATATATATATATTGTGGGAACTCGCTTCAAGTGGTAGAGCTCTTCTTCAAAACACACAGCTACTCGCATCTGTTTAAGGGCCTTTTTGCCCAATTTTATTTACAAGAAAGTTCAAATAAACAAGAATGCTTCCCACGCAGGGGTATCCATCATCAAGCAAATTAATAGTATTCAGCCTCCTGGCTTGCACGCAGTTTTAAGTCTGCCTCCTGCAGACTCTTCCCAAAATATGGCACCAGCACATAGCTAGTCTGGCTTCCACCTGACTCCAAGGCAGAGACCTCCCGTCTGCCGGGGTGGAGCCCTCCTGACTCCGTTTGCCGGGGTGGAGCCCTGCTGACTCCTAGCTGAGGTCGAGTCGAGAACTATGGTTAGGCCTCTATAAAAAGGCCTGCACACACCTGTGCAATCAGTGTGCTGGGGGTTCTCAAAACATGGACCCCGGATTGGAGATTTCATCCCTCCCAGATCTCTTTGAAATCTCCAGGCTCCAGATCCCAAAACAAACTTGATGAATAAATGAGGAAACCAAAAAGTCAGTTTCCTCTGCAATACATTAACTCTCTGGAGCCCCTCAACCTGCCTGGTTGAGAATCCAGGGTTTTCAACTTGAGTTTGACCGTGGCAGGACACCGCACTGCCACAATATATATATATACATACATACATACATACATACATACACACACCAGTTATAATATCCCTGATCATCACCACACCATTCCTACTGTCTCTGATCACTGCCACATTAGTCCTAGTGTCCCTGATCACTGCCGCATCAATCATATAGTCCCTGATCACCACCACACCAGTTACAATGTCCCTGCTTATTATTAGATGCATAAATTATGCCCCTGGATATCCTGAAGGTGCTCCTTAGATTTTGGGCCTCTCTATGTGTCTAGGCTATGGGACACTGGCACCAGTCTCAGTGTCCCTGATCACTGCTGGCTCCACCCCTCCCCCAAAGCACCTTGTCCCCATGTTGATGGGGACAAGGGCCTCTTCCCCACAACCCTGGCCTGTGGTTGTGGGGGTCTGCAGGCGGGGGGCTTATCGGAATGTCAAAGCCCCCTTTAACAAGGTCAGGTGCAATGCTTTAGCCAGGCACAATGCACTGTCAAAGCACAGTGCATTGTGGCACACAGTGAACGAATAGCCCGCTGGACATTGTGGCAGTGCGGTATCCTGCCACGGTGGAAAGCACGATGCTGACCCAGGATTCTCAACCATAGAGGTTGAAGGGCTCCAGGCAGATCTTCTAATGCAGAGGAAACTGGTTTATCAGTTTCCTCTTTGGTTGGTAAAGCCTGTTTTGGGACCTGTAGCCTGGAGATTTCTTAGAGATTTGGGAGGGATGAAATCTCCAATCCTGGGCCCATATTTTTGGGAGCAGCCAGCGTGCTGATTGCACAGGTGTGTGCAGGCCTTTTAGGGGAAGCCAGGCCATGATTCTGAGCTCCACCCCGGCAAACGGAGTCAGGAGGGCTCCACCCTGGCAGTTAGGAGGGCTCCACCCACCCAGGCAGACGGGAGGTCTCTGCCGTGGAGTCAGGTGGGCTACACCTAGGAGAGGTGGAAGCCAGACTAGCTGTGTGCTAGTGCCATACTTTGGGAAGAGTCTGCAGGAGGCAGACTTAAAACTGCGTACAAGCCAGGAGGCTGAATACTGTTCATTTGAATTCGTGTGATGGTGGATACCCCTGCGTGGGAAGAATTTTGGTTGTTTGAACTTTCTTAAATAAAAGTGGGCAAACGGGCCCTTAAAAAATAAGCGAGTTGCCGTGTGCTTAGAAGAAGCTCTACCACTTGAAGCGAGTTCCCACAACATCCTAAACATTTGTGTGTTCACAGAACACACGATGTTCAAGTCAAACATCAAGGACATCCCTAATAAGTACTGATCTCTCTCCTTCCCCTGTTGTAAGTGGAAGGGGAGGGATCAGCACTGTAAACAATATTATGTGATTGCTGTGATGATCAGTTGTAGGAATTACATAGTACCCAGCTCCCCAGATCAGCTCAGTACAGTGTTTCTGTGTACCCAGCCATCTAATGATGGCTGGGTACATGGGAAGGGGAGGGATCAACACTGTAAACTATACCATGTGATTGCTGTAACAGTAAACTGGCGAGTGAGCGGCCAGAAATGTTTATTGCACCACATCCCTTAAAATACCATGTGATTGCTGTGGTGAACAATCATAGGAATTACACAGTACTCAGCCCCTTGGATTGGCTGGTTACAGTGTCTCTGACTAATGATAGTTGGGTACACAGAGATCATCCTGCTGATCGACTGGCGGTGGCTGTTTATCCAGAGCTGTTTATAAATGGCGCTGCATAAATAAAGGGCCGCTGATCCACCATTGATACACGCACAGTGCTACATACGTGGTTAGGGGGATATATTGTTCTGGGCATTCAGTGAATTATTTCTGAAGTCAAAATGTACAAAGAACATGCAGAGCTATTAACCTGTGTGCTGTGTACTTACCCGTTCTTGAGAAGATAGTATCTGACGTCGCTGAATTCGGTCGGAGAGGCATAAATATTCACCACTGAGAGATTGGAGGTGTAGGCATCCAGATCCGGTACAACCACTGAGATGTAGATAATATCTTCCACTGTCAGGGGGTCAGTCTCTGAGAGAAGGGTCGTAAATCCATTATCATTATAGGCCGTCATGGAGGCTGAATAACTTGCATTTGATGTAGGGATGTTTATTACTGCGCTCCTGGAAAAGAAACGCACAACAAAAGGTTACCTACCTAGAACCCCTTGTAGGTACGTGGCCATGCGTCTATGTTATTATACAGAGAGGACGCAGAATGGAAATATTTGCGCTGAAGATAAAGAAAGAGCAAACCTATCAGATCTCTTCTCCAGCTCCGTGTATACTGGTGGAGGAGGTGAAGATGAAACAGAAAAAATAAAAGTCATTTAGGTGACCTTGTCAGGGTGAAAATAATTGAGAAGCGACATCCCTGCAATAGAAGAGTTTTCATACTCCCCTCTCAGGCGGCCCATGTCTCCTACCTTTCCTCCATCCCTGTGCTGCAGCCTCCACCAGACTCTTCAGTATTCAGCTCTTCCAGAAGTGTGGGATGTCTGTGTCTGCCGGCACATGCCATGGTTCCTTCCTCTGACCCCGATGTCACTACAGGACTCAGCAGAGACATCGGGGTTGAAGGAAGGAACCACACAGCACGGCGGGGGGCACTCAGGAGCGCTCAATATCAAAGAGTCTCATGGAGGCTGCAGCACTGAAGCAGAAGGAAGGGAGGAGACACGGGGTATACAGACTCTTCTATTGCAGAGACATTTCCTCTCCATCTGACAGGGCGGCTTGGGAAGACTTGGCCCAGATGGCTTACTAGAGATGTGAGCGATGGAAACATTTGTTTCCGGGTCATTAAGTTAACACGAGGAATCTTCAAAAAGTTTCCGCACTTTTATATGTTTTAATAAAGTTTATAAAAGTGCGGAAAGTTTTTGAACCCTCATAATTTTGTTTTGTCATAGTCGTTATGTCAGAATGATTCGTTATCAGAATTTGTTTCGTATATTTGGCTTTGTTTCATATATTTGTTATTTTCAAATTGATTCAAAATTCTAATTTTGGCTATATTCAGTTTATTCTATCCTCTTACTTCCTATCCTATTCCATTCCTTTATTTATTTTTTTTTTTTTTTTTTGTATTCTATTCTACTCTAATATTTTATGTTTTTTATTCAAGGTTATTCTTTTCTGCTTTATTCTATATCTTTTCTATTCTGTTATGTTTTTATTCTACTCTATTCTTTTATATTCTATTTCTTTATTTTCTATTTTTTTTATTCTATTTTATTCCTTTATTTTCTATTGTATTCTGTTTTATTCTATTAATTGCATTTATTTTACATCTTTTCTGTTTATTTCTATTCTTTGTGTTATGTTAGAATGATTCATATTCTGGATTTTTGTTTTGTATATTTGGATTCTTTTTGTATATTTGTTATTCTCAAATTGATTCCAAATTAAAATTTTGAAAGATGGCTATATTCATTCCATTCCATTCTTTTACTTCCTATTCTATTCCATTATTTTCTCTTCTTTTTTGCATTCTATTCTACTCTGTTTTATGTTATTTTAAATTTTATCCACTTCTGCTTTAGTCTATGCTGTTCTATTCTGTTTTATTCTATTCTATTATTTTATATTCTTTTATTTTCTATTCTTCTTTTTTATTCTATTCTATTCCATTATTTTCTTTTATATTCAGTTTTATTCTATTCTATGTATTTATTTCAAATCTATTCTGTTTCATTCTTTTCTGTTCTTTTCTTTAATATTCTGTTTACTTCTATTCTGTTCCTTTATTTTCTCTTCTATTTTATATTTGCCTGAAGTTCAGCTTTAGTATTACACCTTCCTGCCCAGTGTAAAGTATAATGATGGGCAAGCTGGACATTCGCCATTCTGGGTGGACGTCGTATGATATTATTCTCTTCTATATAGCAGTCTAAGTAGGAATCATCTTCTTATTTCACTTTTATACCTTACTGTATTTATTGCAATATGTTTCCATTAGGAATTCAAATTCATTTTTAAATTCAAATTAATTTTTCAAAATTTTAATTTGGATAATTTGTTTCATTATAATTTATCTCGGATTTATTGAAATTCCTTACTATTGTGATTCAGAAATTCGGATACATCCCCGAATAATGAAAATTTTGGCCAAATTTCGATTCACAGCAAAACAAATCGCACATATCTATGGCTTACACCCATGTGTCCTCAGAGAGTTCAGCTCAGTTATATCTAAGGTTTTGCCTCTAATTTATGAAGACCTGGCACAAGGCCGATGCGGTGTCTATGTATAAGAAGGGATTCAAGTCTTCATCCAGTAAGTACAGAACTTTAAATTAAACTTCTACTGTAGGGAAGATACTTGAAGGTTTGCTAAGGGACCTCATCCAAGGGTTTAGTGATGGAATCCAATATCATGACTGATGGCCAGCTTGGATTTCTGAAAGACCAGCATTATGTAATAATAATTACCCAAGTACTGGGTGCAGGGTCACATCAAGACTGACAGTCATATACAGCGGGATAGAGCAGGAAACATTCATGGCAACATCATTTTCTATTCGGATCGGATCCGTCTGGGCAAAAATATACAGCCTATTTGTGTATGTGATATGGGTTGAATTCATCTGTAGAGAGAGGAAGCACATAAGTCATTAGACATGAAACTACTAAGCAACTTATTCACTCCCTGGTTATCTCTTGCCTTGACTATTGTAACTCCCTCTTCATTGGCTGACCTCATCGCAGGCTATCCCCTCTTCAGTCTATCATGAATGCTGCTGCCAGACTCATCCACCTTACTAACCCTTCCATATCTGCCACCCCTCTCTGCCAATCCCTCCACTGGCCTCCATTCAGTGTCCTCCACCCCTCTCTGCCAATCCTTCCACTGACCTCCACTCAGTGTCCTCCACCCCTCTCTGCCAATCCCTCCACTGGCCTCCATTCAGTGTCCTCCACCCCTCTCTGCCAATCCCTCCACTGGCCTCCATTCAGTGTCCTCCCCCCCTCTCTGCCAATCCCTCCACTGGCCTCCATTCAGTGTCCTCCACCCCTCTCTGCCAATCCCTCCACTGGTCTCCATTCACTGCCCTCCATCCCTCTCTGCCAATCCCTCCACTGGTCTGCATTCTCTGCCCTCCATCCCTCTCTGCCAATCCCTCCACTGGCTTCCCATCACCCAACTGATAAAATTCAAAACAGTAACAATAACATATAAAACCATTTATAACTGCCCCAAATCACCAATCTTGTCTCCAAATATCACCCAAACCGTCCTCTCCGCTCCTCGCACAACCTCCTGCTCTCTAGCTCCCTTGTCTCCTCCTTTAATGCTCATCTCCAGGACTTCTCCCAAGACTCCCCATCCTTTGGAACTCTCTACCCCAAATTATCACACTATTGCCTACTCTGCTCACTTTTAGACGATCTCTGAAAACCAATCTCTTCGGGGAAGCCTATCCTGCCCTCAGCTAATAATGGAATCTTCTACTCCTCCTACCAGTCCATCCCCCACAGTTACTACCTTTTGTACCACTAGCCCCTCCCTCTTAGATTGTAAGCTCCCAGGATCAGGGCCCTCCTATCCCTCTTGTATTGAACTGTATTGTTGCTGTATTGTCTCCCGTTATATTGTAAAGCGCTGAGAAAACTGTTGGCGATATATAAATCCTGTATAATAATAAAAATTAGGCAGGGTCAGAAACTCCCCGCCGTACAGTAAAGTACACATTAGTACACAAGTAGTTACTGTTAATGTCAGTGTATTCCCTGACAAGTCAAAAAGGAAGTCTCCAGCTTTGTTAAAGCAGAACTCCAGCCCAAACCAAGATCAATATAAATTAGCCATTAAAAGAGAAAATAAAAAAGCAACTTTTGCTGCAATATTATTATTATTATTATACAGGATTTATGGCGCCAATAGTTTGCTCAGCGCTTTACAATATAACGGGAGACAATACAGCAACAATACAGTTCACTCCTTAAAAGCCTCTGGTCATCAGTGGTAGACAGTATAAGGTGAATGGA